CCGGTCCCTTTCCCGTCGGGGAGCGCGGGGCCGGGGCCCAGGGGACCCCGGGCCACGGAGAGCGGGAAGAGGATGGACTGCCCTGCCCTCCCCCCCGGATGGAAGAAGGAGGAAGTGATCCGAAAATCTGGGCTCAGTGCCGGCAAGAGCGATGTCTACTACTTCAGGTACCTCCCTGGGGGCGGGGAGGGGACGGCAGAGTCAGGTTGGGGTCAAGGGTCAAGAGCTGGCCCGGGCCGGGGTTGGCGAGATGAAGCTGGGGCCTGGAGGGTATGTGGGGAGACCTGACTGGCCTGGTAGTGCAAGGTGTAGGAACTCTTGTGTGAGAGTTAATCCCAGTGCAGTGAGAGTCAGTGTCTGAAAAGTGAGGGCCCCCAACAGGGCATCTTATGTCAGAGGGAAAATGTTTTGCCAGCAAAGGGTTACTCTGGCCGAGCTGATTAGTCCACTGAAGGGTTAAAAGAAGGTGTAATTCATCGAAACTGTAAAACCCCAGTCACTGTTGGCTCCTGTCCCAGCCTGCCCCATATTCATCATCACAAGAGTGTTTAATTGTGCACATGGAAAAGAATTAGCTATCTACAGTAACAAGGCTTCGGTTACTTTGTGGGATCCACGAAAGTTTCTTATAAAGTAGCCATTCAGAATGCCTGAAGTTTCTTGGAACTCCCTTGGTTAAGAAGATATTCTCTTTGGAAACAGAAACACAGTACTGAGTTTTTAGACTCCTAGACCAAAATTTGCTCCCTAGGGAACGTTTGCCACGTCTGGAGACATTTTTGGTTCTCACACTTGGGGGAGGGGTGGCTGCTGGCATCTAGTAAGTCAAGGCCCAAGGTGCTGCTGATACCCAGTAACATAAGGCAGCACTCAGAACGGAGAATGTCACCTGTGCTGAGGTTGGGGCATCCCGGTTTAAAGGATTAAAGGCGTTTAACCTTAATGTGAACTTGAAGTCCTGTAGTCATTCTTTTTATATTTTTAGTTTGTATGTCCAAATAAACTCAGGAAAGTGTCAGTGGCTGTTGATTATCAGCAGAATTTTATAAATAAATATACTAATTTTTCTTACAAACTATCCCATTTATAGAAGAGAATATAAACATGTTTATATTCAGTGGTTTGGAGGGCTGTGTTTGTAGTCTGATTGAAGATTTTTCAGGTATAGGTGTTGGAACCAATCATTAGCCATTTACCCATCGGAATAAAGTTCTGAAGGGTTTCCTTCCTTTAGTCACCAGGTAGATTAATACATTACCCCAGAGAAAACATGTCTAGACAAGACAATGTTTATAAATTAAGAATATTCTTAAATAGACTTGAAAGGTTAAATTTACATACTCCTGTATATGCCTATAAAAATATGATCACGACTGACATAGTATGTAAATACGAGCATATTCCTGATGGTTGTTCACATATATGGATGAGTAGCTTCGGTAAATGAACTTTACCTCTTCAAGTAAAAATAAATGGAAGTGGTGGTGCATTGGAACCGATTTTTACACTTGATCTGAGACCATTCACCTTGAAATCTCAAATGATAAAATGGAAAACTCATTTTAAACATATGAAGGGATTATCTCGTTTTCTGTTTCCGTGTTACTAAATATTTGATATGCTAAGAAAGTCGTGGTAAGAGAATGCTTATGCCTCTCAATTTCATTGGTTTTACTTGGTGCCATTCATGATTATTTTCAACTATTTCATCAACGTCTGATTCTGTTTTTGTAAGCAGGCAGTCTGCATGACCTGAACTCTGTGCTGATGTCTTACAGACAATTATATTTGACAAGAAATATTCTGTGTCTGGGATTGAAGTCCTTGAGGAATAGAGAATTATCTATTCTCAGTAGGGCATATTACACTTCGAATTTTACTCTCTGACAGTTCTCCTGGGAGATGGTTTAGTTTGGGATGACATATTTGTTCAAAATAACTTTTGGTTATTGCAAAGCTTTTTATTTGTTTTCTTTGTAGTAGCTGGAAAAGTTGTTTCAAAAAGTCAGCTTGCTGGAGTGCTCATTTCAGTTTGTGGCCACTTAACATCATCTTGAATGTGTTGTACATTTTTTTTTTCTTTTCTTTTGAGACAGAGTCTCACTTTGTCACCCTGGGTAGAGTGCCATGGTGTCACAGCGTATAGCAATGTCAAACTCGTGGGCTTAAGCGATTCTCTTGCCTCAGCTTCCTAAGTAGCTGGGACTACAGGGGCCTGCCACAATGCCTGGCTATTTTTTATTGGAGTTGTCCTTGTTTAGCTGGCCCTGGGCCAGGTTTGAACCCGCCACCCTTGGTGTATGTGACTGGTGCCATAACCACTGTGCTATAGGCACTGAGCCTTGTTGTACATTTTTTGATGTTAAATTTTTTATACAACCTAAAATCCTTTATGGTGGAAAAATGATACTATCAATTTAAACAAGTGCATCCTAAGGCAGGACACAAACTAACATGGTGATAATTACTTGCTAAAATGAGAGTCTTTTTCTTAGACGCTGCAGCATAATTGCCATTTACTTTTTATGTAAAATGGAAAGGACACATTGCACAGATTTGTGCCACACGTTTAGTTCAGGGCTGGAAGGAATGTTGTCTATTGTTTATTGACTACACACATGTGTCGGTTACTGTGTAGGATCCTAACACCCAGTCTTGATTTCCTTCAGAGGGGTTGTTATATCTTGAGGCAATTGAATACACGCAGCATGCACATAAAAGCATATCACATATGTGATATTGCAGTTGCTTTGACTTGTGAATGACAGTGGTCACCTACTTACTGTAAAGAAAGACAGATTACTTTCCAACGTACAGTGTCACTGCTTTACATATTACTGCACCCACCCTTAAAATAAGCCAGTAGTTCACAAAACACCTGTGTATCTGCTAATAGGTGGGCTGAGAGTTAACTCTTCCGTTGACAGTGTGAACACCTGCACCCAGTTGTTCACACAGATTCTAATAATGCTAACCCCTGAATTAGCTTGCCCCTGGGGAGATTAATTTAAATAAATCCATGACTGTTAACGTAGGGTGTGGCTGACACTTATTAATTGGACTAAAATTAAGCTCATCAAGAAGGCCTCAAATTTTGGTAGAATGTTTTTTGGCTGCTTCTTGGATCTGCCAAGTTTTAATAGGAAGGCGTGCCTCTGGCTGCCAGTTAAGCAATATAATTATGCCTTCTGTCAGGGTTACTGATAGTGTGGTGGCAGTTCACATATTATCATCCAAAGTATGTTTTTAAAAAGGGTGTGGTGTGATAAAGTATTGGATCCCATGGTATAGTTTCTGAAAAAGTTCATTGCTACCATTTGAGTAATTTTTTAGCTGGTCTGCTTCGTCATTTCTTGTTTTGGGTTCCCTGCATAATACTTTCCAGTTGTTATTTTTGAGATCTTATTTTTCTTCATAGGATCCTTTAGTAGATCTCTCTTGCCTTTTTAAAAAAATGTCAAGTCTAAACTTGTTAGGATCTAGACTCTTGGTTATAACTTGGGCTTAAGATGTGGGAGTCATGGTAAACTGTTATGGCTGCTGCCATGAAATATCATCTGGCTGAATATTGGAAACACAGTAAACATTTTTTACTCTTTATCAAAATGATGATGTAAGTGGTATTTGTACCTGATCACTTCTCTAGAAGAAAAAGCACAATGCACCAACCAGAGCATTAAAATAATCGCAGGGAGAGATGTATGAAGAGAGAATAAAAAGATTTCACCTTCTTGGTTTGAAAAGGAGGGGACTTGGATATAATTGGGGTCTGTACAATTATGAGTGATACTGATGCACGAGGAAGCTGCTGGGGAAGGCAGTAGAGAATAGATGTGAACTGTATCCTAACTCCGCACTCCTCAGTAGAGACTAGGTGTGAACTGTATCCTAACTCCGCTCTCGTCAGTGTGCAACTTTGAGCATGTCGCTTACCTTCCCTGGGCTGGTTTCCCCATTTGTAAAACGGTTTTGACTGTACCTGCACCTCAGAGTGTTGTAAGGATTCAGTTCCAGAAACATGTAGGTCTCTTGAAGCTCTAGGTATGTTGAAGGACTAATTAAGGAAAACAGTTCATTAAGTAATTCCATTTGTATTGGCTGAACTTAAAATAGGTTCAAAAAACATTTAGGTGCATATCATTTGTTACTAAATACTAATATGTGCTTTGAGGGCATGAATTCTGACTCACTGACGATGTCAAAGTTCAACTACCCCCACCATGCCTTTAAAAAAGAAAGACTTGACCAAATAGTCTTTGGTGAAAAGTGGTTGAGTGGACCAGGGAGGGAATGTGATCATTGTCAGTTCTTATATATTCATGTTAAAGTCTTCTTGGCTTTCAGTAGGAAGTTCTTCCCCATGTTCTCTTCTTTCTGGTTATCCTATGCAGTTAAAGCTGGTGTCCTTTATACGCTCATATTTTTTTCTGTAGAACCTGTGGCTTTCTTATATGGCTGTCTTCCTTCTTCCTGGCACAATGCTGAACACACAGATATTAAATAAGTTATTTACCAATTGATGTTACATTTAAAATTTTGTAAAATTGGCTCGGTGCCTGTGGCTCAAGTGGTGAAGGTGCCAGCCACATACACCTCAGGTGGCAGGTTTGAATCCAGCCCAGGCCCACCAAAACAACAATGACGGCTACAACCAAAAAAATAGCCCGGCGTTGTGGCAGGCGCCTATGGTCCCAGCTACTTGGGAGGCTGAGGCAGGAGACTTGCTTGAGCCCAGGAGTTGGAGGTTGCTGTGAGCTGTGATG